ACTCCTGACATCGTATTCAATTAAAACGTATTAATTATACTGCATAGGTTGGACTCTCTAAAACAAAGTTGCATTCTTGTCATACATTGAATTAAAAAGAACTAAATAGAAATGTCTGGCGAGGAGCACAGCCTGTCCGAGGCGGAACTGAGTCCCGGAGGGTCCGACGATGGTCACTCACTGTCACCGACTCAACCCGGAGTGCCACCCCGCCAGGACTCACCTCTGATCGGGCCACCGCAGCAGCTGACCTCGCTCAGTGTCGCAGATGGCTCCGAGGATGACGCAGGCGATACAGTCAAATCGGAGATAGTGGAAGATCGCTTCCCGATCGGCATCAGGGAGGCGGTCAGCCAGGTGCTGGACGGATATGACTGGACACTTGTGCCCATGCCGGTGCGTGTTAACAACGGGAGCAAAGCGAAGCCCCACGTAAAGAGGCCCATGAACGCCTTCATGGTGTGGGCGCAGGCGGCGAGGAGGAAACTGGCCGACCAATACCCCCACCTGCACAACGCGGAGCTCAGCAAGACCCTGGGCAAACTTTGGAGGTTTGTATGGGATGGTTGTTTCAGAACAGTGTGGCCATACAGTGGCACGTTTCCTGTCTGGCCTGTGCGTAAAGGATAAGTAGGGGTGTAGATTTTGAACTCAAATGTAACAACTGGGCAAATACGTTTAGGATGATGGTTGTAAACAAAGAAAACACACAGAAATCAAATTGGTATTTTATTATTTTGTTACTTTAATAGAGTAGGCCTACACTGCATTCGTGTATACCTTCGAGTTTTAACCTCCTTATCCTCTGCGCACGGGGTTGAATGTGACAATAATGATAATTTCTAGACATATTCTCAGAAAATATTTTCCCTTTAATTGAGTATCAGCCTGTTAGACTAACAACACTCCTTGTTTGTCTCCCCCCAGGCTGCTGAACGAGGGCGACAAGAGGCCATTCATCGAGGAGGCGGAGAGGCTGAGGAAACAGCACAAGAAGGACTACCCGGAGTACAAGTACCAGCCCCGGCGACGCAAAAACGGCAAACTAGCTAATGCTAATGAGTCCGACAGCCAGGGGGAAGGGGAGGCAAGCCACTCCCAGTCTCACTACAAGACCCTGCACCTGGAGCACAATGGCGGGGCTGGGTCTCCCCTGGGTGACCTGCACCACCACCACCATCACCTCCACCATCCTGCTGGTAGGAGTCACAATAACCAACATTTACATTTGAGAAAATTCACAACATTTATAATTAATATTAAGTGGGATACATTTATTTAGGCCTATTTAAATCAGAGTCAGACTTAAAGAAGACAAAACTAAGTTGTGCCTTTGTCAATGTTCACCTGTGTCCCTCCTCTTGTTTCCTCTAGGTCAGGGTCACAGCCCGCCCACACCCCCCACCACCCCAAAGACAGAGCTCCAGTCTGGGAAACTGTCAGATGCCAAGAGGGAGGGGGCTGCAGGAGCGGCCGGAGGATCAGGGGGGTCCAGGGGAGCCCTCAGGGTGGGGGATGATGGGGCCTCGGGAGGCCCTTCATCATCGAGCTCTAAACCTCACATCGACTTTGGAACCATGGACATCGGCGATATCAGCCACGAGGTGATGTCCAACATTGAGCCGTTTGACGTGAACGAGTTCGACCAGTACCTTCCTCCAAACGGCCACCCGCAAAGTGGACCCGGGGCCCCTTCAGCCGGATCCTCGGCCTCGTCTTACGCCTACGCCCTGGCTGCTGCTAGCGGGCACTCCGCGTGGCTCTCCAAGCAGCAGCAGCAGCAGCAGCCTCAGGCCTCTCCGTCTTCCTCCGACCCCTCCAAGGCCCAGATCAAGAGTGAGTCTGTGGTCGGGAGCCACTACGCTGACGCCTCCTCCTCGCCCTCCTCAGGCACCCATGTCACCTACACCCCGCTCAGCCTCCCCCATTATGGCTCCGCTTTCCCCTCGCTGGCCTCCAGGGCTCAGTTTGAGTATGCCGAGCACCAGGCCCCCGGGGCGTACTATGCCCACTCCAGCCAGGCCCCGGGGCTGTACTCAGCCTTCTCCTACATGGGCCCTTCACAGAGGCCTCTGTACACTACCATAGGAGACCCCTCCAGCGTGGCCCCCTCTCACAGCCCAACGCACTGGGAGCAGCCTGTTTACACCACACTCACAAGACCTTGAGGGAGACCAGCTGATCAGAGGGAAATATGGGAAGTGTGTGAGTGGATTTGTGTGACTGTGTGCAAAATATGTGAGCGTGTGATTGTGGATGCGTGCATGTGCCATATTGATGTTATATTAGAGGTTTTTACTTTTTTAGCCATTATAATGCAAGACGCATCCACGGGGCCTTATACAGTTTAAAAGAAAAACAGCCACAAACTCACACAATATAAAGTGTGAATCATGGGTCAAATGCCAATCAAAAATTAAATAAACCTTAATAAACATGTGCCATCATACATTTGTATAAAGTTTGTACACAGTGTGACTCTGAATGAACAGTTGTTGCATTGATGAGTGACTCTGATTTGACCCAGCAACGATGGGTTTAGACTGACATAATCAGATTTTATTAACCAAACTAAAGCAGATGTTTTTGATGTTATTGTGTTATTTTATATGAGTAGTAAGTTTATTGTCAATGTTGATATCCTAGGGTGTAACTTTATTGTGACTGATTTGATATTACACTAATACATCTTCACCACTGCTTTGGGAAAAGCATGTTTTGTTTTCAGTAAGATGTTCCCAAGGGTTGTATTTTTTCACGGCCAGAAAAGGATAGTTGTTTTTCTTGTAGATAGCACAATCTGTCCTTTCATTACATTGACTTCACTGAACTGAAGACTTAAGCATTTAAGGGGGAAAAAGGAACAAGAGAGGGAAAGAGAGCTCCTAAAGATGTATTTCAGCTTAACACTCAGTCTTGGACACTTACCTCAACTCTTTTCATTTTGTGCCAATAGCAAAGAAGAAATAAGACACTGGATACCTGATCAAATAATGCTAAAGGTATTCAGATTTTCAGAGCAGTAAACATCTGCTTCTTTTTTGCTTTTTAGAGCCTAACATTTTGCTAATACACATCCGATTTTTCTAATAACTGAGTTAAAATATATAAGTGCAAAGTCTCAACCAAATCTCTTCAGATAATTGGCCAGCTTTGGGTCCTACTTAAGGATTAGAATCACATGTACGACCCCTCTGCACTGCTAAAGCATGTTTTCGTCCTTATGTTTTTTTCTATATTGTGTCCAAATAGGCCTCTTCCTCTTCAGCAATGTGAATATTGGTTATTACCACATGCTTCAACTTTATTACCTGACGCATACTTTATGATTTTATACTGACCCTCTTACCATGTAGTTATTATTTTGTTGTAAGAAATAATGCATTGTGTGTCACATCTTTGCTTCTTCCATTTTGTATAATTCTGGATAGTTTTGTAAAGTGTTTGCTATACATTCACTTGAGTATTTTGCTTCCATACAAGAAAAGCAATGTTGAAATGTTACTGTTGTCATCTATTAAATCAATTTATTTATAAAAAAAAAATCCTTTGTAAGAGTGTTATTGTATGCAGTAGGGATGTTTCAGAGATAAAACATGGAGCATTAAGCAAGTGAAGGGTGAACAAACTAAATTAAAAACACGCTGCTGACGTGTGAACTGTAATAACAACACAATCAGTGCCCCACCAACCTAAGCTGTTTAGTGTGTTTGTGTGTGTGGTAGGCTAAAATTGACTACTAATTCCCCGCATTTAATCGGCTGGGGACTGCGTGTTACTGAGAAATACAAAGAGAGCCATTCAGTGCTGCAGAGGGACAGAAAGAGAGAGAAAGGGTGGGTGTAAAAAGCCAGAGCCAAGGCCAATTTCAGCTCAGTAACCAACGTACACTTGGACTTTTGTACATGGCTTTCCTTTCACGCTGCCCTCTCCTCTCCACCTGAAGCTGCCTCCCTGCCTCCACACTCAGCTGCTGTTCAAACCTATTAAGCGGGCACCCAGATGCTAATTGTAAAGTGTATTGTAAGAATATTGTGTGTGAGGGGGATGGTAAACAAAGATGTTGATAGACATGGTGGCTTTTGCAGAAAAAAGTCAAAAATAAGTGGTGAGAGATTAAATAATTTAAGTAGCAAAGAGAAGTTCATTTACAGAGCAGTCCCAACCAGGGAGAATCTGTCAGTTTTTGATAATAAAAACACAAACTAGACTTGGTCTATAATTTATAACATGATTGCAAAACTTGGATAACTTCAACTAGCCTAATCAAGGTGCAATGCTGGGCTGACATGTCATTCTGACACCTCTACATTGATGCAAATGATTGCTTGAGTGTACATCAGGAAAAACACCAACAAAATGAAACCAATGCATTTTCTACTGGGGATTAATAAATTACATCATTATTATCAGGTGATTGTGCATGGAAAGAAATAAGATAATGGGGTTGGAGGATAAATATCACTTGTACATTTATTTGTAAATGTTAAAAGCCTTAAGGTGAAGCCTGCGTGCTTACATGTTAACAAAGCTTACTTTCGACGAAGCTTGGAAAAGGAGTAGGCCCATATGTGAAGGCTTAGTGGCTTACAATGATGCAATGAGTTTATTGCTTTAGGTTGCAGCTGCCATATAGTGCCACTTAACTGTTGGTGATTTCTGGGATTTCTACACGTGAGGCACTTATGGGACATCTGATGTACAATTTCGCCATATGTTTTTAAAGCAAAAATATACCCGGTTATGTTGGTTTGGTTTGAAATTGGTCCTTTCTAGCAGAAAGCCCTGAAGGCAAACCTCTCATTTGCAATAGTTCCTTGCTTTGAACCCTCTTGAGAGTCAGAATTACAGTTTTAATTGAATGATACTAATAAAACGTACCGGTATGTAGTCTACTTTTCTTAACATGACTGAGACTAGTGTTGGTCCTCCTGATCAGCTGGTGGCGTATGGTGGCGGTAGTGAACCTACAATTTTATAGAAGAAGAATAAGAATGTGACGTCATTCAAGGCGCGCCAAATCTGCATCAGACATAAACAACACGAAGTTGTGAACAGCATCGATAACGTCTAAAAGGGTAAGAATTAGCTTTGTTGCAGATTTATCAGGATATAAACTACAGTATAGCTTCATCGCAACAGCGTAAACTGCTCGTGTATACAGAAAACAGCCGCATGTTGTGATAAAACATGTTAGTTTGATGAGTTAGCATCACCACTGTCTGCATGTCATGTGTGTGCGTTAACGTTAGCTAGCATGGGATGTTGTCAGGAGAAAGAGTTCAACATTACGATACTTTAGCATGACGAAACAAATATTTGATTCGTGACTTTCGCAGCCTGCTGTCATGGACCTCAGCCCCTTTGAATCGGACAACTCTGTGAGCTGCCGCCTGGCCTCTGAGATCCCGGATGTCTGCCGGACTGAGGACTGCTGTCTGGGCATCGATGAGGCGGGCAGGGGGCCTGTGCTGGGTATGCTGTTTGATACTTGTTTTACAATCTAAACCATAAATACTATTAACCTGCAGTACTGTCTGATCGGTTTGAATGCAATTAGTTTTGGCACTAACTGCATTGTGCTATATGGTTTCCAAACTTACAGTGGTCATTTTTGTCACCCAGGGCCCATGGTGTATGGAATATGTTTCTGTCCAGTTTCCAAAAAGCAGGAGCTGAAGGACTCGAAAGTGGCAGGTACATTTTGTGGCCCACATCTCTGCTGTTTGCTGTTAAAAAAGGATGCTGCACTGGCTTTCTCAGCATTGTTCTTTAAACTCATACTCAATGCTTTTTAGAAAAAGGACATTTTCAACTAGCCAATTCAGATTTTTCTCTATTCAAGAATTAAATACATTTTTTTTCTCATAAAGCAACATATAATTAATTGGATGTTTTTTCCCCCTCCTGAAACAGATTCAAAGACTCTTAACGAGGTAGAAAGAGAGAATCTTTTCCAAAAAATTGACGAGTCCAAAAGTTATATAGGCTGGGCTCTGCAGATCATCTCACCAAACACCATCTCTACCAGCATGTTACAGAGGTATGTGGCAGACACAGTATCATGATCACAGAGACTTGTTTTTCTTTTAATAACCTGTTTTATCATCACACTCACAAAATGATCTGCTTCTGTTAGGACAAAATACAACTTGAACGCCATCTCGCATGATACAGCAATTGATCTAGTACAGTATGCCTTGGACAGTGGAGTACAGCTTAAAGAGGTATGGAACCAAGTAGTAAATGTAAATATACATTTGCCTGTCTCTGTGAATTGTTGGCTCTTCATGAACTGTAGAGCACTGTGACAGAAAATCATGAAATCATGCAACTGATTACCAATTGAAACATTAGATAACATATGTAAATGTTCACTCAACTTTTTTTTGCTCTTACTTGGCTCGACCCGCCACCTCCCTGGTTTTCTAAAGGTGTTTGTGGACACAGTCGGCCCAGCAGATAAATATGAGGACAAACTCTCAAAGCGGTTTCCAGGTATCGATGTGACTGTGAGGCCGAAGGCTGACTCCCTCTTCCCCATCGTCAGTGCAGCCAGTATCTGTGCCAAGGTTAGTGACCACCAGCCAAAGAGATCTCAGTTCTTCAGTGATGTCTTTGTTACTTCAGGGCTCTTCATTCAGATTATATACCTAATAATTGTAGCTAATAAACGAAACTCTGTATCTACATTTTAGGCTTTGTTCAAAACAGTCAGTTTCTGTTTTTCAGGTGGCAAGGGATCGTGTTGTAAAAGGCTGGAGCTTTTCCGAGGACATGGGAGATGTGGAAGCAGACTACGGCTCAGGATACCCAAGCGGTAAAAGAAACAACAAACAGCTACTATAATACTTACTGGAAGTCATCCATGTTTGTGAAATACTTTTAAATGTATAGAATAAAATAAGCATTAAGTGCACTTTTTTTATGTCTGTGGGTGTTTCTCAATGTCGAGGAAGGCTGCTCCAAAGCCACTATTTCAAGCATACTACGTCATTGAGTGACGCCGAAGGACTGTTCCAATGTCCAGCATACTTGGAATTCTACCAAGGCCGGCGTACTTCGTAGCGAGAAATTTCGAGGCTGCACATGTGTAGACTCCGCGGTCTTAAAATCCCCACAATGCTTTGCGCACGGACCGATTTCCAAATCTTTCGCGGAAATCGCGCTCCATTTAAGGCGGGGCCTCGCATATGATGCACACCTGCACACTTGCTAGCCTGTTCCACAATTCTTCGTTTTCCGAGGCTAGGAAGGATTCTTGCCTCGCTTCTGAAGCAAGTGACTCGGAAAACCAAGCAAGCGTCCTCGACATTGAGAAACACCCTGTGTCACTTCTCACACTATCTTAACATGACTAACTGTAGTTATCAATGCATGTAGATAAACTGTTTCCCCCCCCTGGTTTTTCAGATCCGAAGACTAAAGCGTGGATGCTGAAGTACCTGGATCCAGTGTTTGGTTACCCTCAGTTCGTTCGATTTAGCTGGAGCACTGCCCAAACCCTGATGGACAGCAAGGGCGTGACGGTCCACTGGTAAAGAGCCTTTAAACTGAATTTTGCAGTGGATTATTTGAAGGAGTATCTGCAACCTCTTTGATTGTGTACCTAGTAAATTGCTCTCACTCTTATGCAGTAACACAAATGTTTTCCCATGTAAAAAAAAAAACACTTGTCAAAAATGTTTCAAGCTTATGAAATTTGTTTTGTGGGTTTGTGTGTGTGTGAGAGAGAAACCGCAACGCTTTTGATTTCAACGTCACGCTTAATGTCTGTGCAAATGCTTTGACTTCTGGAGACAAGAGCTAACCACAGCGTAAACATGACTCTTGTTTTGGTAAATTTGTCCTCAGGGACGATGATGACGAGGATGGGGAGAAAGGGGCTCAGCGTCAGAACAACAAATCCATGTTGGCTTACTTCAGTGCATCAGCTGGAGGTAAAGACCAAAAATCGACTCACCAGACACACCGCTTCTTCACTGAGCGGCGGCTGAAGAGCCTCGAGGCACTCTGAAGACAACACAGTAGAGGACACACACACAGGCAGGAAATCAAAAGCTCTTTCTGATATTTCCATGTGCGGCACAAACAGAAATTGATATGGACTTTAATGCAACACTGCAGACCTTTTATGTTTGTATCACCAATCCAGACTCAAATTAAGGTCTATCTTTATTTGTCACTTTTGTATCTGTTTTTTTATACATAAAAATAATGTTAATAACAATGCGTTTTTTCACAAGAGCCTTTGTTCATAAATTCGACATAATACTTGCAAAAGAAGCAAAAAGACTGTTTGTTTTGAAACTGCAATCTTTAATGCTGATGCTGCCCTCTGGTGGCGATATGACAAAATGCAGCAGATGTTTTAAAAGCATATTCAACATGACCCATTGTGAGTCCCGACACAACCACTTTCTGATGGCTGGAATATTCACCACAAACATCCACAACTGCAGAATGCAACCTACTCGGAACAGCTTATTCCACATACATTAAAATCATCTTGTCAGGCATATTACATTATTTAGCTTAAATGACTGCATACAGTATATTCTGTTTTGAGCAAATATACCAAGGAATACAAACCCAAAGAAAAAAATGTTATTTGAAAAAAGAATGGTGTCCAATGTTAGGCTTTGTCTAAAAACAAACAACCACACAAGTATAATTTAAGAGTTATACTCTGAGCAGGCTTTTAATACTTAAGAAGTTCTGATACTTGTTGACAGCCTTTGAGAGTCCTTGTAAGAAACTGTCCCGTAACTCTCAGCAGCAGACATTTTGGACATTTGTCTTGTTTCTAATCTCTCTCACATTGAGACTACTCACAACAAGTATGAGGCAAAAAGGAGGATGAGGCTTGATGGTATTACTGCATACTGTTCCCATCTTAAAGTACCTTTGTGTAATCTGTATTAACCCAACAAACCTCTTCCGACTCACCGGGCTAACTGAACACTCGGGAAGCTTCGGCCATAATAACACATTTCACGCATTGCTATAGGAGCACAAAAGGCAGCTGGCTAAGAAGGGCTGTCCATATCTTCAGCAAAACAAAGCTTTCCCAGCCTAATACAGCTGACCAAAACATAAAGGCGAATCCATCGTTAGTTCTTGATGGATTTGTGTCGAGAGGCTTGTATCTTCTTCCCACAGTTCATAGCCAAAGAAGAGATCGCAAACGAAGACAGGATGATGATCGAGCTCCCCACGAAATGAGACGACGCTCCTCTATATTTCGTCCTCATGGCTTTCCTGGGAAAAGTTTTTTTTTCTTCGTAGGCTCCTCCGGCGGTCACCGTCCGGACCAAAGGCTCCATGGTTTCCGCTGATTCTCTGATGTACAAAAGCTGAAGACAAAGTCCAAGAGCTGTTCTCAGGCGGTCTGATGTTGGGTCTGCTTCAGCCCCAGCTGCAGGTGTTTGGATCTTTGTGTCCTGACCAGCACGTTGAACAAGTTGATCTGTTTTGGTCCTCAATGATCTGTTCTTCTGCGTCCATTTATAAACTCCCGTGGCACCTCATCTAATCCCTCCAAGTATCAGGGTCTGCTTCTGCGTCAGTGGGTTTAGCCAGCAGGGGATCAACGTGATGATCTATTTCAGCGTAAGACTCTCTACCGTAACTCTATTAGATCACCCTGCCAGTCTGCAAAACTAAATACATCACTAATAAGCTTGCAAACATTCAGCTCTGGTGTCTAAACATTTAATTAGAAGGGCAAAAACAATGATGACACTTTGAGACAGGTGAGAGGTGTAGCGCAGTCAGTCATGAGTTTCATTTCCAGACCATTCCTGGGTCATTTTCTGTTGCTAAACAAATGTTTATTTTCCTATTCGTCACAATCGGAAAAAAGCTCCGCATTCATGGAGTATATTGCCTTCTGTACATTTTGAACATTTGTGGTATCGCATAACACGAACAATCTTTCAAAAAGGTTTAAGAAAGCGTTTTTTTGTAAGCAGTTGAAGCAGACAATAACAACCAAGGTGCTCAGGAGGTGAAGCAGATACAACCTACTAATATTTGGCAGATAGTTTGTTTTTCCGTTACGATTACGAGATTACGGGCTGTCTTCGAGACCTTGAGTCACTGCAGACAGTTATCCAAGACTACTGTTCTTTTTCTTGAGATAAGAGCTGATAAATAAGAAGATCAATCAAAGATCTAGGCTGATACTGAAGAACAGTACATCTGATTAAGAGAAATTACAGGACCTTTACACAATGAAACTCAACCTAATGGATACAAATGAACATTGCTTTCTTTAATTTCTCCAGCCAAGGACACAGTTTTTGTTATAGATTAATATACAAAAGAATATCAGTCTTATGTCTTCTTTTAGCCAACATCAATAGAGTTTAATATCGTAAATGCCCCAGTCTTAAATTTAGATCTGAAAAGACGATTACAGTCTCAGGAAATTAATCTGCAGCAATTTTGATAACAGATTAATATAAAAAGTAAAACATCTTCTGATCAAGCCTCTTAAATGTGAGCATTTGGGCTATTTGTTCTCTGTCTCGTTTGATAACTACTGTATTTGAAATACCCTGGGGATATCTGATTGGAGATTTTAATTTTATACCATAAACAACACAAGGTAATTATAAAAATACAGATCACCTTTTATCACAAACCATCGCACCATCATTTAATCCAGTTTTCATTTTTGAAAGCAACTCATAGGTTGTCTGTATTGGAAAATTACTGTAAGGAAACAAAAAAATAGGCAATTTGTCAGCTGTTGGCTGTATGCAGATTTGACCCCAGAGGACAGCTCACCGTCACGTGGGGTCAGCAGGTCTCTAATCCCGAGACAGTCACACGTAGTCCCAGTTTCTCTGGCATCTCTTTAATTGCGCTAATTGGATTGCGCCTGTTCTTTTCCACGACTGATACAGGAAGCTTTTATGAATGAGTGTGCCGTCACGTACGCAAGGCTTCAACAGTGAGTCGAGGAAAAGTACAAGGAATAAGTATGAGTGGCATATCGAAGATATCTGTTCTGATAGAACTCTTTATTTTCTTTAAATCATGTCTGCACTGAATTGTGTTTACAAATTCACACTGGCTATGATTTCTAATTTGCCTTATGGTGCAAACAAAACCACGCAAATATATCACCTGTTAGACTGCTCATGCATACACTGCTTGAGTTATTATTGATAACAGGACTTTTATTCAGGGTAGAAATGCAAAAAGTATGCAAACAACAATAATCAGATACCTCCGTAGATTTAGCAGTGAATTACATTGTTTTATTATTGTCTAAAACAATAAAACTAAATATACATTATATACATATATTATTGTGCAGTAAAAAACGGTTTATTACACAATAAAGTAAAACATTCAAGATAATATCACTGCTTTTGCTTTTGTCCATGAAAGTGACCTTTTTAAGGATCTTCTTCATTAAAATGCAAACACTTCTGCTTGGCATTTCATTTTGACGCCAACGGTCATTCATGAATTTTCCTCGGTACAGATTTAGAAATCATCAAGCAGTTTTCTCAAAAGTCATCACTTTATAATTATGTGCTACATGTTTATTTGTAATGTTTATTCCCACGGCCTCTGGTCCAGGTGGAGCTCTCCGATCTAAAGCTTCTTATCTGAGGATCAGCAGCGTTCCTCCGGTCTCCACAGACTCTGTAGTGCCTGGCTGTCACATTCAATTATCTCTGTGAAGCTCCCTCAGGTGCCCTGACATTTTTATCTGGGCACATTTAACGTATGGCGGCTCATTTGAATTGGAACAGCTGATTCTTTCCACTTGGTGTCACTACTGCCTCAAAATGAAAAGGCTTTTATTATAGCCATATTACACGTTCAGTAGTGCAAGGCTTGTGGGCTGAACACGCTAATATTAGCCCTTTGAAGCTGTTATTGGTTCTAAATGCAGTTATTTTTTCACCTCTTACATTTGGCTTGTTATGGTCTTATTTCAAATTTCAAGTGCAGTAGAAGTCATACAATGCAACATAGACGAATTAAAGAAAACATAACAGGTCCCTTATGAAAACTGAGGTGAAACCGCTGGATCTGCTCTGCAACCACCAATGTGTCAGTTTGTAATGACCACACTTTATTACATCTTTCCTGTGTCACTGCTTGTTGGAGCTTTTCTTCTGTTTCAGTTTAGCATACAGTCATCCTGCATGTTTTTTAAACAAACATTACTCCTTTGTTAGGGCAAAGGGTCACCTATAGGTGAGCTCTAGAACAATGCCAGCTCAATTATTTGCATAAACGTTAATGCATTGCCCTTAATGTTACAAACCTTTTGTACAGTCAACGGCAGACAATAATATGATTAACTGGAAATTCTTTTGAAGAGCAAAGACCTCTGCCAAGGCCAATCCGCGCCAACATTGACCAAAATCCGGCTTGTAGTTTTTCTGTGATCCTGCTAACAAACAACTAAAACAGTGATAAAAAGTCCTCAGTAAAATATTAAGAAGAAAGAATGATAAGAACAAAAACAAAAGGGCTCAAGCGGTTGGCTCCACTGCTTCATGCACAAAGAAGGGAGTATTGTCGAGTAGATTCAGTCACAGATCTGACAAAAATGTTGGACACAACTGACTGTAACAGCAGGCCAACATACTTTATTCATATGGATGGATCAAAACGTACTAGTGCAAACACAGGAAAGCCTTCACTATGATTAACCTGACAAACTCTAAAGAGTACTCCCATCGAAACATTGTACTAGAAAGCTTTGATGTATTACATATTTATATAGTAATGCATGCATAAGGAAATGTCTTTCTATCTTTTGAGAGACAACAGGGCCAGAAACCCATTCAACCAATCAAGCTGCATATACATCATCTCTGCTTCTTGAACTCCTTCCCCTCTTCTCTCCTTCTTTGCTAGCTTTATGTATGTATGATGAGGCACACCGAGACTGCCAATCTTATGGTGTTTTATTTAGAGAAGTGCCTCATCCTAGACTAGGCTTTTAGTACAGCTGTAGTCTGTGACCCACTTCTGCACCGACAGGGATAGCAATGAGGAGAAGGTTGGAGCTGAGAGGCGGAGAAAGGAGGCGTTTAAAGAAAGCAGATTTACAGGATAAGGAGAGTTTATGGAAAAGATGGAAATGACAATGATGGGACATGAGGAGGGTTAAGAAAGGAGAGTTTTGGGAAACAATTTACTAGATGTTGTCAATATTGCTGTATTGCCTCATACAGTATATGCCTAAATGCT